TGGGAAGGGCAAGGAGGATGGCACCACTGCCAGCCCCCAAGACCCCCCCATATAAGGTGAGGTTAAACAGTTTGAACCCAGCTAGCCATATTCTTCACTACACTAAGTAACTTAGAGTCTTGCTGCTATTGTAATCCTTTGTTTCATCTCTGACCTCGTGGGACTGCAGCCTAAGAGGTCTGCATGTGTTTGGCTGGTTCCAAACCCTGCAGTAGATTACTTATAGTTAGCCTATTTATTTCACCTGTTCTTCGTTGGGAAGATCAAGCCTCTGATCAGATGAGTATATGCTATTCCTTTCTCATACCTTTAGCTTAAATATAACTATTTGCTATTTCTGTAACAACTGAGGAACTTGTTTGTGTGTGTGTGTGTATCTGTTTTTTTTACGTATGTATGCGAACTAGAGTTAGGAAATAAAAGGAACCAATTGCTTTAATCAGAATATTAGCTCGTCTCCATTTGTAAATCGGACTTCCTCCGAGGGTTGCGCTTCCTGTATACATTGGGCAGCATCACCGAAATTAATAATTCATAATGCCTCTGTCGTAGATAAGGCAGTCAGGCTATCATGCCGCTGCTTTTAGTCATTCAAGCCCCTTATTTGCATACCTAAATGTTCTCTGGGGTGCCTGGGGTGCGGATGGCCCTGGTGAGTCTCTGTAAGGCTCTGACCTCTGAAATTGACCAGATCCCCTCTGCAGTGCTTCTGGCTATTGGTTAAGCCACACTGTGGTGCCAGGCCTTTATGCCTATGGCTTTGTTGCAACAATTAACTATCCTAGAGTCCAGTCCACAGTCCTTTAGTTTACCCATCAGAACATCATGGGGACTCTGTCAAAAGCTTTACTGAAATCCAGGTAAACAACATCAAACAACCTTGATCCAATAAGCTCATCACTCGATCAAAGAAGGAAATGAGGTTGGTCTGGCAGGACCTGTTGGGGACAAATCCATGCTGACTTCCCCAGATCACAAAGTTGCCCTTTAGATGCTTACAGATCAATACCTTTAAAATCTGCTCCAGTATCTTCCCTGGGACAGAGGCCAGATTGACTCACCTGTAGTTTCCTGTGTCATCCCTCCCTTTTTTAAAAATTGGGATAACATCTGCCTTCCTCCAGTCTTTTTAAAAAATATTTTTCATATGTCCATGCGTGTGTGTGTACCTGGAAGTCATGGTGATCTCTGGTGACTGTGTGTGCACCTGGAAGTCATGGAGACTTCTGGTGACTGACTGCTACTGGGAGCCTGGAAAATATTCAGAGTGGTGGCTGAATAAAGCCTGCCCCTGTCCTCCTGACTGCTGGTATTTCAAGCAGGGTCTCCCATCCAAACACTTGCCAGAGTCGACCCTGCTTAGTTTCTGAGATCTGACAAGATCAGGCTTGCCTGGGCTATCAGTGTCTGTGGTGCCTTCCTCCAGTCTTGTGGCACGTCTCCCCAAGTAAGGGTGTGCAAAAACGGCCCATTCGGATTTGGCTGAATTGGGCAGAATCAATTTTGGCTGGCAGTAAGACTCCCGCATGTCAGTTTAATCAGTAGGAGCGATTGGGGAGTCTTTCGGCCAGCCGAATGTCAAGTTCAGCCCTATTATATCCCATGGGCCATTGAAGTCAATGGTGAAAACATAGGGTATATTCTGAAGGCAGGAGGGGAGGAGGGTTGAGGGAGAGACTCCAAACTCGCAGAGTAGCTGCTGGAGTTACTTTTTTTCCACCATAGAGAACAATGGAGGGGATAGGGGCAACCTGTTTGGGGCCCCGTAGAATTGGACCCGCTGGTCCAATGTTCTTCAAACGTGGTTGGTATCTTGGGGAGAGGCTCCAGCAGCTACCCTGCGAGTTTGGAGCCTCTCCCTCAAACCCCCTCCCCTCCAGCCCCCAGAAGCCTGACAGGCCTTGCTCTGACCTGTTTCTCTGACCCGAACTTGTCGGGCTGCCAACTGACCCGACCAAAACTACCATATCAAAAGGTCCTGTCAAGATCATTTCTCTTTTCTCTAGCTCTTGTCTCAGTATTTGAGTTTATTACATTCACAAAATATTGCTTACTTATAAGGTTCTTCCTCTTCTGCTAAATCCTCCTCCAGTTGTATAAATGTTTGAATCTAAGTGATAGAAATGATGGAGGGGAAAAAATCAACTATTAGTTTATACATCCCAATAATTAAAAATATTTTATATTACATTATAAACATAAATAGGCATATGCTTTTACACTAGAAGGAAAAAAAACATACAAGGCTCAAATGTTAGTAGCATTAATTAAGCAGACCAGTGCAAATCAAAGAAGGGTTTGAGGGGTTTTTTTGTGGCTAATCTTAACATTGTCTAGTTCTTTGAATTATTCCTTACCAGCTCTGTCACCATAATTGGCCACAATGAGGTTAGATGCTGAGGTGAAATTCTCAGCAACAAGACTCTGAAAAACAGAAACATCTGGGCAGCTACTATGGAAGTCTGTCCAACACGCAAGTTGTCAGTCAGTCTCTCTGGAATAAATTTACAGGAATTAACAAACACGTATTGAAGCGCAATGAGTTAAAACTGCTGAAACATAGTGTGTTTAGTTACAACATCTTGCACTGATCAATTGTGTTTATTATCGAAAATTAGTAAGCCTCTGATAAGCCTGAGGTGAAATAATTTCAGGCTGCCATCAATGCTCCCTCTAAGCTGTGGAATCTTGTCAACAAAGATTCTACTTTGTGAGCTCCTGGCATTGAAGTTGTGAGCCAGCGATTTGGCTACTGCATAAATTAGTTTGCTCCTGGAGCCATCCGTCCTGAGCTAAGACAAGAATGTGTGAGCAGGAGGCTACAAAATTGTGAGCTAGCTCACACTAACTCAGCTTAGAGGGAACACTGGCTGCCATTTTTACTAACAAAATAACGTCTGATATTTTTGTTTATATTTTTGTTATTTGTATTCTTCTATCTACATATTTTGCTATATAGAGGATTCAGGGAGATAAATATCTTAGGCCTGGATCTTTTACTTTCCTTCCAATTGCACAGCATGCACTTTCATTGCAGAGCATATTACTCCAGCATTAGATGCTTACTGCTCTACAATGAAGGACTGAGTTGCCCAAGCAGCAGGAAAGTATAGGATCCAGAGGTCATTTCGGGGGGGATCGCAGTTCCCCCGGGTGAGGCACGGGGGGCGGGGTGTGTGGCCTTATGACACACTTCTGGTGATGTCAGGGGGTGTGGCCTTATGACACACTTTCGGTGATGTCAGGGGTGTGGCATATGCTAATGAGTTATGCTAATGAGTTCCCCTAGCTCTTTTTCTACGAAACGACCCCTGATAGGATCCAAACCATTATTTCCTTGAGATGGTGAGAGACAGCAATTTGGACTTATAAGTTGCTATATAATTTAATAAAATGGCATAACTGAAGACTGTGGGCTCCAAAAAACATTCAACAAAGCTGACTTTTACAAGGACAGCTTTTTCAGGGGTGTAGGCATCCATTAACATTGGGCAAGTATGCGGAATTGCAATAAATGACATGCAACCCTGTAACAGTAATTTTTTTGATGGGTAGTTCCCGGCAAGGAGCACGGTTATTCTAATGGGAGAGTCACTTATTTGTCTAAGCAGAAAACGATACTCAGGAGGCCAACCAGACCAGACCACATATTGACAAGCTCTGCACAGAGATAAACTGCAGTATCAGTTGAGCAACAACTTGCTAAACTTTGCATTCTTAACTTCCTCCTTTTATAAACAATGCGCCTTGCTACGTACCTGGAACCTCTGCTTGGCTAGACTATTGTTTCTAAGAAGACTGCACAAGAACTATAATGGATCACATCAAAGGCCCAGTAATTATTCTGTTTTTCACAGTACGTAAGGTGCACTTGGGAAGTTTAGGAACAGATGAAGGTAGCAGCTTCCCACTGCAATTACCTACCCAGCAATTAGTACCATCATTTCTTATGGCAGTAAATTATATAAGATTATTATGTGCTGCATGAAGTAGTATTTCTTTTCGTTGGACACCCTGAATCAACCACCCATGTACATTACTGGGTGTGCTTGGATTCTGGTATTATTAAACACATAGAGAAAGCCTCTGTATCTTCTTTCTCTCTTCACAAGACATTTAATAAGGTTCTCTCATATCTCCTCTCAGTTGCCTTTTTCCAAGCTAAAGACCTATAATGCTCCTTTATAATATTGTGCACCTTTTCCAGCTCATTTATATCTTTTTTAACATGGGGTGAACAGAACTGTACATAGTATTCTAAAGAATGCCACACAGTAGTGTTATACAAAGGTATTACAATAATTGTTGCTTTATCTTCAAGCCCTTTCTTAATAATCTTTATCAGAGCATAAAACAAAGAACACATTTTTTCATAGTAATTGTATTGTATATAATACATCAATCTCACCTTGTATCAAAGGCAGGTAAAGGTGATACTGATCAATTTCTCCACTGAAAACAGCAAATGCTTGACGCTTCAACAACATTGCCTTTTGCTCAAAACTTGGGAAAAGTTTCAAAGAACTACTCTGCATACCTATGATTAAGAACAGTCTAGGCATTAAGTTGCAACCTTTTATGAAATAATCACTGGATATCTAACAGAACAAGCAATAAAAATGTTATATATCAGTATGAACAGTAAAGCAGTTCACTATGTTCTTGTTGATTTAACTTTAAATTTTAACAAAAGACAAAATCAATTATACTTACTCATCAAGTCTTTAAACATAGTTTTTTCATGTGTAAGAAAATGATCAATAATGGATCGCCAACTGCAGGATAAGACAAATCAAGTAAAAATTAGTGCAATCAAGTTTAAATTCTATCACCTTTCCCTTCATGATCGCTTGAAACATAAAATTTCCATCATCTAAGTGACTTTGACACTGTAGGTAAGTTGCAGAAATCCAATGTATAGTGACTAATATACACATGTCTGGACACTACATACACAATTTACACAGTTTCCTATACCAAACAAGCTACTTCTGTTTAGACCATTTTGACTTGTATAAAGCAGTCATGAAAGAGAACCAATTAACATTTCATTTCAAATACTATCTGTTAAAATAGTTGTTGGCTGGCTGCATCCATCGGATTGTTGGAGGAACTTGCGGAAACAGATTTTCTCTGCATTTTCCTTCCCCTGACTGCCACTACTGAGGGCTCCCCCATGAACGGGTGGGGGATAATTTGCTGAATTGCCTGCACTTATTGTAGATTTCTGTGCTGCATGACACATCAATCAAAAAGATCCCCTGACACCTTGAGGACACACTCATAGGAAAAAGGAGTTGAGTGAGATCTGCTTTGATGAGCTCCTTCCATTTATAGAACTTTGAATTCATCCAAAGTCTCAGAAAGAAAAGATGCAAATATGAGTCCTTGCCTGAACCTCGTGTACTTTACTAGTCTGATATTAGGACTAAAGAGACCCCAAATTAAGTACTCAAATAAAAAAAAACCTTTGAGGGTATCACTGACCATGGCACAAGCTCCAAAGAAAAAAAAAATCTATACATTATATTCCTTTCACAGTACAGTGACAGAACAGCAAAAAAGATTCCAGGAACAAAATAATTTTAAAAATTAAGAAACTACGGTATAACTCTCAGTTTCATCCTATATGGACACTTTTTTCTTGGGGGGCCATGGAACACTACAAGACCATTGTCTTTGTTAAGGTTGAAGAATATGCAGTGTATGGAATTGTAGGAGATTGAATAAAACCTATTATTTAATAAAACAAGACTACTGGCAAATTATATATTGTATAGAGAGATTCCAAATGCAAGATCTCTTACAACTTCATTTAAACTCACTAGATATGGCTAGTAATGTTTCTTTTCATCACACACACAAGATTGCCCCAATTATATTTCTTACTGAATGCATGAAGTGTCCATCTGGAAAAAAGCTGGATCCATATATAGGTCTAGAACATCTTTCTTCCATGCTCGCTTGGTATAGGCATAACCACTTAGAGAACTAAGCAACTGGGAACCAGCACGGAAGCTAGGAAGATTGTAGGCACTGTCAACAAAAATATATACAATGTAAAGATGACACACTTCTCCAAAATGTATGATTCACATGCTCTAGAAAATTCTAAGCCTTGTGGCAGGATTCTATTTGACATTGTTGATTAGATATGTCTTTGAACACCTGCAGGTTAGTTGCAAGAAAAATTAATGCACACAGCAAGGGAGACAAAAAGAGGAATGGAGGAATAATAGCCTGTAATTGCTTTTTTGGGATGAAAAGTGTCTGAATTGGGGAAAATCACAAATGTAAGACAATATGTTTATACTAATTTATAACAATTTTGTTAGTTTACTAAGGACGTGAGCAAACAACATAATGGAGTGGGAGCAGGAGGGAGGGGAGTGGATAATTACAGTAGTTATAGGCTTCTTTGTTATTTTTATTGTTTATTTTGTTAAAATGAAAAACATGAAGTTACAACAATTAAAGCATCATTTTGCTAAAGATAAAACTGAACTCAGTTAAATTAGAAAGAACACTAGCCCTGGCATAATTGGTTCATCATAGCCAATAAATATTTAGCATCTATAGCTTTTGAAAATAAGCTACTGCCTTGGTGAATTATCCAAGGAATTACTGTACACAAACCAGATCTTAGACCAGTAGTGTCAACTTTAACTAGAAAGAGGTGCCTGTAAGGGATAGGCTTTTCCACTGTTTCTCCTCATTTATTTCACTGCAGTCTGTATTAGATACTTTATAGCATTCAATAGGTAGAACTGGGGAAGAGAGACAGTTATGCACATGATATGACTCTCTGGTTAAAGCAAAATTTGGCAGAGGGTAATATACAATTAAGTTCACCTAACCAGTACAACACAGCACAGAGATGGCTTAAAAGGTGTTCACAGATATGCACCTGAGTGTGTTACAAGTGATTTACAAGAACAAGCTGGTTACCTGTGATTGCGTAAGTAAGGAAACACATAATAAAGCAATCGTGATATTAACGGCACTGCCTTCTCTTTCTCATCACTACGATAGACCATATCCAGGAGAGAAGCGAGAACCTATAGAAACAGTGTTCCATATTAATGAAGGGTCCTCACCCATTAGAGGTGTTCGTTAGGTGAGCATAACCAGTGAATGGTTTCTAGACTTTCCTTGATTAGATTTGAATTTTCCATTGTTACATTTCACCATGTACTTACTGTATTTCATAGTCCCTTCGTCCCCCCCCCTTTTTTGTTAATTGTTTCATACATAAAAGGTCTGCCTGTGGGGAGGCACTACAGTGCATCTGAAGAAGTGGGCTCTAGTCCATGAAAACTTAAAATTGTGTTACTCTTTAAAGTGACAATATAAACCACATGGTTCCCTTTTAATTTTAAATAAAACTGGTACTGATTTTTTAAATGACAAAAAGCAAAAATACACAAAATCTGAGACAGCATCCAGAAATGAGAAAATATAATTACGCTCTGGGGGACAGAATGAAATACATGACTCTGAAAACTGGAAATATGCCATCTTTTCAACATGAATATGCCAATTTAAACAACAACAAGAAGACACCTAAATGCTACCTCCCGTGCCTATTTTAGTTTCATGGCTGGCTACAGAAGAGGGCAAAAACACTGCAAGCTCCATTTGCCCAACAGAAACAGGACTCACCTCTGCAAGGAGAGAGAGGGCTTGAACACTGTACACAGATGGAGCAGAGGCAGAGACCATGGAGGAAGGGGCTGCTGAAGCATCTGCAGAAGAAGTGGCATCTTAGTGTTTCTATTTGGTGGGAGGCAATACTAAATTTTCACTAAATTAGTGGTTACTTTTTAAAAACAAAACTAAAAAGGCTTAGATTCAGATGCTGCAGGATGAGGTGATCTGCAGACCACAAAATAAGCTATGTACAGTAAAGCGCTTGAGAAAATAAACACATCTAGCCTAAGTGTCTTAACACTTAGGCTATGTGTGTTTATTTAATTATTTTTTTCATTTTCTACAAAAAGTGGGATACAAAAGGGGAAAGGGGGTAAGGGAAAATATAGATTCAACAAATTTATAAAATATTATGGGGTTGTTACACGAAAGAAGTAAAATCAGATATTATCAGATGTAATACATATTTCAAATATAGAAGCAGACAATAAAACATCAATATTACAGTGTTTTGGGATGGGTTCTCTCTTTAAAAGAATAAACAAGAACTTTCCTAATGTTAGTGATAATCTATGTGTGTTTATATTTTTAGGTACATTACTTTGCAAAGCTATACACACATAGCTGTACATATACCATCACATGTAATGCTACCAGTGTTGTTGTTCAGGGAAGGGGGAATTTAGAGCTGAGAAACAGAATGAGAAAAGGGGGTGAGTCACTCATTC